GACGCGCAGGCTCAGCGGCCATGGCTCACAGGCCCAGCCGCTCCGCGGCATGTGGGATCTTCCCGGACCCGGGCACGAACCTATGTCCCCTGCATTGGCAGGCGGACTCTCAACCACTGCGTCACCAGGGAAGCCTTGAATTTATTCTTTGACTAAAGTTTTTCTACAGACAAGAGGCAGGCAGAGGACATTGGGTGTGTGTGGGGGTCTGTCCTGGGAAAGTCCCATAGGGTCCCGCTCAATTACAGTAATAGACCTATTATATGTTAATGTAAGTAACACATTTAAAAAATAAAAACTATATTTTCCAAAACAAAGAATTTAGAGTGGCATTGTTTTACATTTTTGTGAATCTCTTTAAGGTTTGGTTTAATAGATGACAGCTAGATTCTCATATCTACTTCTGCATTCATTCTGTTGCCAAATGTTTTGTTTGAAGTATATGAAAAAAATCCAGCTTACGTAGTTGGAAAAGGGAGTAGTTTATGAGCCTTTTCAGGTAATTACCAGTATTCCTCTTTGGATACTGCACCAAATACACACTTGATAAATGGTAAAGTTTAGTTGCAATGTGGAATCTAAAACATATCAGTGAATTTTTCTTAATATGTTATGTTAAAATCCATTGGTGTATTTTGAACTTTAATGGATATTTTACCCATCTGTTTTTTTTTAATGCATTACCTTTGTTTTTTTCTTTTTTAACATCTTTACTGGAGTATAATTGCTTTACAAAGGTGTGTTAGTTTCTGCTTTATAACAAAGTGAATCAGCTATACATATACCTGTATCCCCATAACTCCTCCCTCTTGTGTTTCCCTCCCACCCTCCCTATCCCACCCCTCTAGGTGGTCACAAAGCACGGAGCTGATCTCCCTGTTTTACATTTGGTAGTGTATATATGTCCATGCCACTCTTTCACTTCATCCCAGCTTACCCTTCCCCCTCCCCGTGTCCTCAAGTCCATTTTCTACATCTGCGTCTTTATTCCTGTCCTGCCCCTAGGTTCTTCAGAACCAGTATTTTTGTTTTTTTAGATTCCATACATATGTGTTAGCATATGGTATTTGTTTTTCTCTTTCTGACTTACTTCACTCTGTATGACAGACTCTAGGTCCATCCACCTCACTACAAATAATTCAGTTTTGTTTCTTTTTATGGCTGAGTAATATTCCATTGTATATATGTGCCACATCTTCTTTATACCTTTGTTTTAAAATGTGGTAAAATATACAAAACATAAAATTTACCATCTTCAACCATTTTAAAAACGAATAAACTTTATTTTTTAGAGTGTTTCAGGTTCATAGCAAAACTGAGAGAAAGGTGCAGAGATTTCTCACATACCCCTGTCCCCACACATGTACAATCTCTACTATAGACATCCTGCTCCACAGTGGTATGTTTGTTAGAATTGATGATCCCACACTGGTACATCATTATCACCCCAAATCTGTAGTTTACCTTAGGATTCACTCTTGGTGTTTTACATTCTATGGAATTTGACAAATGTGTAATGACATGTATCCCCCAGAGTAGTTTTGCAGCCCTAAAAAATCCTCTGTGCTTCATCTGTTCATCTCTCCCTTTCCCCTAAGTCCTGGCAACCACTGATCTTTTTGCTGTCTCCATAATTTTGCCTTTTCCAGAATGTCATATAGTTGGAATCTTACAGTATGTTGCCTTTTTCAGATTGGCTTCTTTCACTTAGTAATATGCATTTATGGTTCTTCCATGTCTTTCCAGGGCTGCATAGCTTATTTCTTTTTAGCAGTGAGTGATATTCCATTGTCTGTATATACCAGTTTACTTATCCATTTACCTACTAAAAGACATCTTGGTTGCTTTCAAGTTTTGACAGGTATGAACAAAGCTACCATAAATATCTGTGTGCAAGTTTTTGTGTGGACATAAGTTTTCAACTCCTTTGGGTAAATACCAAGGAGTGCTATTGCTGGATCATATGGTAAGGATATGTTTAGTTTTTAAAATTAGTGTCTTTTTGTTTCAGTACACAGAACTCTCTTTACCATTTCTTGTGAGGCCATTCTAGTGGTGATGGACTCTAACTTTTTTAAGGAAATTCTTTATCTCTCCTTCAATTCTGAAGGGCAGCTTTGCTGGGTATGGTATCCTTAGGTGGAATTTTCTTTCTTTCAGTACTATGAATATACTAACCCACTCCATTCTGGCCTGCAAGGTTTCTGCTGAAAAATCCACTGATAGTCTTATGGGAGTTCCCGTGTACATAACAAATTGTGTTTCTCTTGCTGCTTTTTTTTTTTTTTTTTTTTTTTTTTTGCAGTATGCAGGCCTCTCACTGCTGTGGCCTCTTGCATTGTGGAGCACAGGCTCCGGATGCACAGGCCCAGTGGCCACAGCCCATGGGCCCAGCTGCTCCGCAGCATGTGGGATCCTCCCAGACCGGGGCACAAACCCGCGTCCCCTGCATCAGCAGGCGGACTCCCAACCACTGCGCCACCAGGGAAGCCCGTCTCTTGCTGCTTTTTAAGAGTTTCTCTTTGTCTTTAATTTTTGGCAGTTTAATTATAATGTGTCTCAGTGTAGTTCTCTTTAATTTTTTTTTTTTTTTTGGTTTTCTTTGAGCTTCCTAGATTAGGATGTCTATTTTTCTTTTCTTTTTTTCCCAGGTGAGAGAAGTTTTTAGCCATTATTTCTCTAAATAAGCTTTCTGCCCTCCACCCCCACTCCTTCTCCTTCTGGGACTTCTGTAATGTGGATACTGGTCTGCTTGATGGTGTCCCATAAATCCTTTAATCTGTCTTCACTCTTTTTCATTCTTTTTTTAAGTTTTAATTTTTTGCTCCTCTGATTGGATGAATTCTATTGCTCTGTC